AATCATTAGCGTAAACATTTAAAACGATTACGTCTTTCCTTTTTTTTAATATATTCATATTTTAAACCAAAATATCACTTATGAGTATAAGTCGCAAGAGATGTATTACGACGTCCGTGGCCGAGTGGCATGTACGCCGGGTTTTAAAGTGTCGCAAACTTCAGGGGCGTCATAACCACATGCGGCGCCCGGATGCGAAAGCCAACATGCATTTTTTCCAAAAATTTCGACTAATTAATTTTTCAGTTTATAGACTGCCACAAAAAGATAGAAGAAATAAATCACATAAATAGGCAAGCATACGTACTTATGTATGTATTATAGTTTAACTGAGTTGACCAGAAATCGTAAAACAATCATTTAAACTGTCTATGTACTTAAATTTTGTTTTTAAAATTTATTTAAAGTAATATTTATAAAATTGTAATTGGGTAAGGTAAATAGGAAGGTAGGTACTATCTACCATAAAATTCATTCAGATGTTGATCGCCCGGCCCGGCTGGCGCCCCCAAGGGCCCGGCGCCGGCGCCCGGGTGCGGCCGCACCCATTGCTCATATGGGAAAGACGCCCCTGTCCAACTAAGTCCCTGGCTCGGGCATTTGTTTATTTATTTACCAAATAAAAATACAAACTGAGAAATCAATAAAGAAAACAATTCTTAGTGCTGCCTTACTTAAAGGCTCCCACTGCATGCGTAATTTGTACCTATGTCATGGATGTTTATATGTATTTCTAGATAAATATGCGTATGTATCAGTATGTGTATTCTATCTTGGGGCTAGGTTAATGGGTGTGTGTTAGAAATATTTTTATATATTTATTATTTAACAAACCATTTCAATAGCCCACGCTAGAACGAAAGCTTCGTGCGATGCGGTTGTAGCCAAACTTGCTGTTCCGTCCAAAATATTATAAGAGTGCAGCAATATGATTCCACTCGGATTATTTCCATTATTGGCATTGTATTCGGCAGCCTAAAATGCAAATTATCTAATAATTATGCATTGTCTTGTCTAATTGCTGTACCTACTTTAACGAACTAAGGTACCTACTGTTTTTGTTAAATATAATATGTCTATTGCTTGAATTTAAAGCATTTCACTTTCCTATGTATTTCGCAACGCTCCACGGGTTAGTGGGTAGGATTCTAGGCCATCACTGGAGCGACATGCTTTTTCCTCGTTATTTTGTTAACAAAATATCAATATTACCTATGTAAGGGCTTGGTGGAAATTATTTAACAAATAAGTCGAAATTATTTAAGAAAGTTAATTTAATTTTACCTTAAAAATCTTATCTTTAACTTCAGCAAATGATAGATAACTCCTTCTCAAGCAAATATCATCCACAATGTCTCTTAAAGAAGATTTAAACTTGCTTTCTATGTCCGGAGAAATTATCTTTTTATAACTTGTGTAGCTAAAACTAGATGACAATAAACACAAAAAAATTAAATGATCATAGTAATAAATCATAATCTTTTATTCAATTTAGGCTGCTACAAGCACTCATGAATGTCTAGAAGCTACGTCACCGGTTCATAAATCTACGGCGGCAGACCTTGCCTTTCCATTGTAGAACTATGGTTGTATGTGAGGACGATAATATGTAATTTAAAGTCAACTAAGACGTACCTGCTGTTGCTATAATTTCGATGAAAATATTTTATTGCCGACCTCATTTTATAGAAAATTGTTCTTGGTTTAGCTCTTTACAAGTGCTCAGTCACACACACGTGCTTTTCTTGCATTTAGTTTGCGTGAACAAAAGTACAAATCACCATTTTTTATAAATGTATGCTTATTTATGCATATATTCCATTCATATAACAACAATAGGAAATAGATAAAGATCGAATCTGATAAGAGTATTTTTCATCACAATGGCAGGGGTTTAGAAGCATTCGCATTAACATAACAAAATAACTTTGATCTACTTAAAAAAGGAGTAAAGGATATGTTTTTATTTTTTTAAGCATTTAACTGCTAAATGTTTAAAGGACATTGCTCGTTCCCCATACATTGAATGCCCTAGAACGCCCAGCAATGAGAAAATGCTAGTTGTTCGGTGCATAACCGAACATTTATATTTTGCTTATTAATTATTTTGCAATACTTAACACCGTCACGGCGCCTGGCCTAATTTAGGTCATTAGCCGCGGTGCAAATATAAATTAGTGTAGATTTCGATGCATAAGCGAACGCACTCATTAACATACATTATTATAGTATTTTAAGAACATTTTGTGAACAAACAATAAACACGTAATTATTTTCGGTAACAACTTTATTATTTTAACATCCACTAAGCTCAGGCACTAACATATGGTCCTTCGAGCTATACCTCGCGCGCGTAATATCGTGATTTTTGAGGTGAATGAACAGTGAACATTGGAATACAGTGGTGTGTGAATTTAGTGGACTATCAAGCAACACCAGTAACACTGTAGTTACTGTTACATGTATTGTGTTCGGAATCATTCATAAACTCTAAATAAGCATTTGTTGAGATACGGACAACTTGAGGAACCGTGGCCTACTACAGAATGTATTAGATTTTGAGGTTATAATTATTATACTTAATCATAAAAGATGTACACTTTATATATTCTGAATAGATTTAGTGTTTACCCCTATGTAAGCACTTAAATAATATGCATTAAATGAACATAAAATGCAATTTATAATAAAAATAATAAATGCTTATATTCATATTGATTTTACCTGTAGTAAGTAATGATAGATTTCTTTTCAAATGCAATGTTCAGTCTTTCCATTTACTTGTTTCTATATTTTACTAACGGTAATTAGGTATGTACCTGGTTATCATTATGATTTTCATAAAAATAAACAGATATTACTGGGATACTGGGATGGGAGTATAAACTATCTTTAGATAATTTCAGAAATAATCTTTTTATAAATATAATATAAATACTAGTATTAAGTATTATTAACTAAGGTTATTTGTTGTAACTTTTATGTTGATAAATACCTATGGTCGCCTATATTGCATAACTAAGATAAACAATCTCGGCACAACTTTTTAACAGAATCACCCATTTAATATTAAAATATTAACGAAGAAAATAAACTATTAAAATAAATCGTTATTATATACTGAAACCTATTGAATCCAGTTATCAGTTGATCTTTAATGCTGTATTTTCAATAAAAAGGAGTGCCAAGTTGGATGAACAGACTGTAGTATCTAGTAACAGAACTTTTATTTTTTAAACAGATTGTCCGTTTACTATGATTAATTGCTAATAAGTTCAAAAATAATAGAAAAATAATAGTGAAGGACATTCTTTTGGGCATGCTAGGGCCGAATTCGTCGATGTCCTTTTCTAAAGAAAAGTTTACTAGAATAAATCCGCGCGCACCAGGCAACAGACGGGACTCGGACTCATTATCTAATCGTGTCGAATGCCGTCAGGGCTGCGGTAGCATAGTGGTCAGCGCTTTCGCCAGGATAGCGAAGGGTGCGGGTTCGAGTCCCGTCTGCTGCCTGGTCCGCGTGGAATTTTTGTAGTAAACTTTTCTTTAGATTTAAGTTCAGGATTATTCGAAAATTAAAAAAAAATCGAAATCTAAAAATTTATCTTTCCTGAAACTATCTGTCTATTAATTATGAATGTATTTTGCTACCTATTTCGAACAAGTATAATAAAACCAGTATGTAAAAAATATAAAAATATATTTATAAAATCTTTGCAACATTGATAATGCTTATATACAAATAACAATTTTCTTAATCTATTTTTGGTATGTTTATTTACTTAATCTTGAGTCTTGTATAGGGTTGCAACGATATATCGGAATATCGATAATATCGAGATCAAAATATCGATATTTACATCGTTATTTAAAATTCATTGATATCGATAATATCGATATCGGAAATTCCAAAATATCGATATTTCGTAGACTAAATTTGAACACTATTAATTTTTTTTTATTTTTTTTTTATTTTAACATTATTATTTTATTATTTTTTAATTAATTAATTTACCCGCTATGACTATCTAAATTGAATAATATCAAAATAACTATTGCTTTGAAATCGCAAGAGCTTATAGATGTATTAAAAAAATCTTGAACCCCAAGAAATATACTAAACTGGTGTGGATTCTGGCATGATTCTCTAAACCTAAAATTTAATTTGACAATAATGTATCCTTGTCATTCTTTATACAGAATGAAAAGGAGAGACTGATGTTAAATTTAGTTTTAAGTTTAGATAATCATGCCAGAATCGACACCAACATATATAGGTATAATAGTATACCTAATGGTAACTCATGCACTTAAATAAAATCCTTGCCTCTCTTTCTAGATAATTGTCAACTACTGATTAATTGAAATTTAATATCATTGTAATATAACACAAAATAAAATTAAGAATCTTATTCAAATCGTAAATTTTTTAAGCTCGCCAAGCCAAGAAAGTAAGATAGGTGTAGTAATTTTGGAAGCTTTGGGCTTACCCTATTCTGAAGCTTTGGGCACGCCCCTGATGTGTGGGAGAGCAATTTGCGAATTTGATGTGCGGTAAAAAACCGACATAGCTTGGAAAAGCACGAATGCAGTGAAAACTTAGCGAAGGCATTCGCAAATGTCGTCCCACATATGCGGGTTGGCGCATTCGTGCTAACGAATGTGATTGATCTGATCAGGATAATAATTTTATTTTTTTGGTTTCCTGTCGTGGCTGAAACACAAACCGTGCGAGCCAATAAAAAAAATCCTGCTTGGCGCGATTTCATCAAGCGTGTTTAACGAAAAATCTGGCTCAATGCATTTTGCGAGAAACTCGCCAACACACATATGAATGTATTCTAATGTCAATAAAAAATAAAAAGGAAAAACTATCGATATATCGATAATATCGAGTTAAAATGGTCGATATATCGGATATCGATATTTTCCTGACTCCGATATAAATATCGATATTTCAAAAGACTTTGCATCCCTAGTCTTGTATCAAGTGAATAATAATATTTGGAATATTTTTATGGCAGTTTTCGGCCTCTTTACTTTTTCTTTATAACAAAACTTAGAAGAGGTATAGTTACATACTTCTAGTAAAAAAAATATTACATTATCCTAAAAAAATACATTTTATTCTAGAAACTCATCATTAGACAATAAGGCCACATGTTTGTTTGTATGTCCCGGGGCCTTACAGCAGATACAATTGTTTTACGAAAATAGCCCTTATAGCCAAATAGTAAAGCAAGATTGTATCCACTACAACTATTAAATTCAACTATATCACCCAGACGATTCATATTTAGTCAGAAAGTTCTCGATGACGTCCAGTAAACTAGAAGCTCCGATCCTGAAGAGTTTTGGTGTTAGCCATTCAGCTCCTAGTTCAGTATGTACCAACACAAGCCAATTGACAGCGTCTTGCGGTGTTTTTATGCCGCCCGCCGGTTTGAGGCCAACCTTGAGACACAAAAAGACAAAATTCATCATTATAATTAACATATCATTATCTGAGAGAGATTTTTCAGAGAGGTAGGGCATATTATATCAAAGGTCTTAGCACGCCTACACGACTCCGCTCTCACCTTCATTGCCTAGGGTCTCCACACATCTAAATGCGGCTCCGCCAGAGGTGGCAAGCATCCCATCAAGCATTTGCTAAGCATCTCATGACCCCTGACTGAGATCTATTTTTTTACCGCGGGCCGACTGAGTAAGTAGTTTGTAATGAATAGTTAATCTATACATATAATAAAATGATAGGAAAGTCAAAACTGTACATTGAAATTTTTTATAAAAGAATACTTGGGGTGTGATCTACAAATACTGAAGCCAAAAATATAGTTTTTAGAATTTTTGACTGTTTTTATGTCCCAGATAAACTCAAAAAGTACTGCATGGATTTACTTCAAATTTGGCACGAATATTATTAAGAAGTCGGGTCAACATATATGCTACATATTATCACACTATCACCTACGGGGAACGTGCAGTGAACCTTTATTTCTGACTAACTCCACGCGTACGAAGTCGCGGGCGGCCGCTAGTTTTAGTATAAAGATTATTGTGTTTTGACTAGCCGCGCAAAATAATAATTTAGCTAACTTTTTTCGAAGATAAGAAGTCCATCCGATAAATCTCAATTATGAGAATTGCTTTACCTTCTTTCCAGTTTCCTGATAGAAGTATCGTATAGCCCTGCACATCACCAAGCCCACTGGTAGTGTGGCATTCACTGCTTCCTTCCCAGTGGAGGTTTTAATAAAATCTGCACCAGCATACATTGAAACCATTGAAGCTTTGTACACCTGAAATGTAATATTAATATCATTTATTATTCTTATGAACAGCATAGCTTAATAACAATCTAATAGTGAGTATACTCGGTTGTTTAAACCGGGCAACGATGTGGTGAGGACTGTTTAGTAATGTTTAACAGCCATAATAAGAAAACAAGCATTTTTTACCAACTACAAAAAGGATTTCATCAATATATATTTTTTTATACTCAAAAAAAAGTTATCTGCCACATCAGCTATCTATTTTATTTATACTTAACATATGGCAGAAGCTATGGCATCATCTACCTATGTATAAAAAATATCATACGTTTTCATAAGTTCCCAATTCACCAACTCCAAGAATGACCTTCATGTGAGCCGGTCCACACGATTTCTTCATTTCCTCGACTTCTTTAAACAAAACTTCCCATTGACCTGTCAATACGAGACTGCGATCCAGCACCACATCTATTTCAGTGGCACCTTCTGCTACAGTCAATGCAATCTCCTCTAACCGTGTTTTCAAGGGATACAACCCAGAAGGAAATCCAGTCGCAACTGAAAAGCACACAGTGACTGACTGAAAAACTTTAACACACATTACACACTTTGATTTCATAGTTGGCACTTTGGTTAAATAGGTAACAGTATCGTAATAATTATACCTAAATCCAAAAATGTGTACAGAATAATGATAAGATTTAAAAAGGTAGTGCACAATTTTCTTGCTTGATTTCGATCGGAGCTTGTATAAATAACCAGTTCTGAAAGGACATCGCTAAGAAACTGCCCCTAACATGTATAATTATTTGGCACTAGCCCGAAAAATTAAAATATTTGTTTATTAATTATTACGTGTTTATTATTCTCATTAAACTTTCGTGAAATAATCAAATATTTATGAGTATAAAAATTGACTTCATGTCTGTTCCAAAAGGAAAATATTCCGTATTACATAAATAAATGAACAATTAATCTACACAAAGATTACTTATGTAAGTATGTTGAAATAAACAATATACAATTCGAAACTCCTAAGAACTATGAAATATCTACTTGGCCCTATTTTTTTATAACAAATCACTGATGGCTTAAAATAATAGATTTGATATTTCTTTCTTTTTTCTGTATCAATTTAATTCTTTGATTTCTGCAAATGAACAAAATAAAACTTTACGGATTTCCTGTCAGGCTGACAACAACAAATTTATTTTTGCTTTAAAGCACTTCTTGTGAAGTGTTAATCAGAGAAATTAGATTAAAGACTCTAAGAAAATGCGAAATTGATAGCTCTGTAAATAATTGGCAATATCTTTTATCAAATGAAGCAAGGTAATGATGTAGTAGGTGTTTACATAGTTTTCAGAATTGTAACTTTATCAGAAGTTCCTGAGCCCTTTTTCATAGAAATTATAAACTTTCGGCCATTCAGCATTAAATATTACTATTATAAGTACAATATTTATACATCACTAGGGCAGTTACTCATACGAAACTTTGCCATGTCCTTTCATATCCAAAACTTCCTTATTCTTCAACATAAAAACAAATAATCACTATAACCATATGTAACGTGTTAAAAACGTTACATGAATCTCATTCGCTCGAAGAGCGAGATAGAAGACTTTCCTAGGCCGTCTCTCTCTGTTCGTTTTTATCTCAAGTCCATTTTCTTTAATCTATGCGTTTTTGAATTAGTATGTTCCTGCCTTAATCAAGCAGTAAGCTGTATGGACGTTGTTCTCTTTGCCTACCCGGAAAGAGAAAACGAACTTAAGAAAAAACTAATGTCACTTCACGACATACTTTTTCGGCAGCAGTATGCCTCGCCGCTAATCTTATTGAATTACAAAGTAATTCATACTATTCATATTATTTTTCAATGGTAAGTGTTTTTCCAAATTCAGAAAGTGTTTTAATTCATATATTTCAATAATTTACATGAGGATTGATTTTGTTTTCAGATGAAACATTTTGCATCATTCGTACAAAATGGCGAGGGCCATGACCCAAGCTTAATTTGTTTATAAAACGGTAAGAACCTTAGCGATTTCTTTCGATTTACATTTTTTCATTTGTTGTAAGCCATGTGCTAATCTACGGAATGTTTATTTTCAGCGATAAGCGTTTTTTTTTATATTATTTTAACTTTGAATTTCAATAACATCATGGGAAATTAACGAAACCTCTGATGAATCAGCTTTGAGAACGGCCGTCCTTACATATTTGCAACACCAGACATAACTCCAAAGATGCAGCAAAGTCGGTAATATTCAAATTTATGGTTGTACCAGCACCCATATTAAAGGAAAATTTACCTTTAATATGGGTGCTGGTACAACCAACCATTTAATTCTTGGTAGAGTCATAGTGTAGAATAGTTTCTAAATTTAGCAGTAACCCTTTTGGACGTAAGTAATTTTGCATTAAATTTCAATATATAGACAACCCAAAATGAGTATGGATTTGCATTAAACCCCCTTTGCGATTAATAGTTCGATGCTTTCCCGGCTAATATGGTATAATAATGTGGTAGGTCTGGCGCCTGAGTATTCTATTTAATTAATTTCGGCCTACCCATTTAAAGTAATTTTCACAACAATTTATTATTTTTTACTATTACATTTGACACCATTTCATTTATTTTATTATTACACATAACATTAAGCATAGGATATCCATATGCTAGGCGTTTATCTTTGTGAACAGTTTTTACGATTTCTGAACTAAGCCACACAGTTTTGATAAAAACTTAATATTTGTTCTTATGCGAATTGATAGTAGTCGCTTTTGACTGCGTATTTGCTATGATGCCACGCAACGCATGTTTCATGCACTCCATCTGCCTTTTATTCTGTAATCTGAGGTACCTAATACAAAAAAAAAATATAATCTTGGTTAGGGGTGCCGGGTGGTCTTAGTGAGGCATGACAAGGTAGTTTAGGAGTTTCAGAATGTTTTTTTTTCATCATTCAAAACATTACCCCCTTACTTAGAGTATATTTTCTAAGCCCTCCTTATTAATAATCAAGGAGTAAGCTAGTCTAGTTACTTCAAGTTTTGTTCAAATCACTTGTGTCATTTGTAATTTGATAAACAGAGGCAAAACTTAGTAGTAACTAATCCAAGCTTATTCTTCGTTTTTTTAATAAGGGTGTACAAGAATAACTCACCAGCTGCTATCTGTAGTGTATCTGTAAGTTCCATCCTTTTGATAGTCTTATAAGCATTCTTGACTCGACTAGGATACACACAAACTGCTGCAGTTCGCAAAGACTCATTCTCACGTAATTTCTCCAATTCATCTGACAATCTTGTTGGTAAAGGGTTGGCAGCCTTAAAAGTGATTATGGTGAGTAGTCTAATATGTAACGAAATATACTGAATACCAACTTTAAAAAAAAAGAAAAAATAAACATCCATACTCTCATTAGCATCCTGCTAATGAGAGTATGGACACACTTTGAAATGAGAGGTGTTAAGCAGGAAGGTGCCAGCTGGCTTTTTTAAGCAAGCGAAACTAGTTCTATGAACCCATGTTGAAGATTGATTCTGTTTGATACCAAAAATTACCACGACTTTCTGCTTTCACAATCATACTTTAATATTGGTCCACAGAACTTCTAAAATTCCCTTTGGTCACTTTCTATTTTACAACACTCAAATGATATAAATAAGTCATGCTACAAGTGCAGTTGTAACCATCTATTTGGGCCTGCGGCAAGTCATATGCCACAGCAAGGGGTACATGACACTGTGGACTAAATTTTTCTCACTTTAAATCCACTGTGTCATTTCACTTAAAGTCAACCAAAATTAATTAACACACAACATAACATACCTTAATACATAACCTAGTAACATTTGATTCAGTATCATCACCTGCTAATGTAGTTAGATCAATTAAAGAGACAGCTCGGAGCAACCAAGCATCAACACTATTTTTTTTAAACACTGGATTGTTCTTCAATATAATATTTATTTGCGAATCTACACTGATTTTATTAATATTCATCTTGCTCAAAGACTTGAAATCTGTAAGTAACTATTTGTTATTTAGAAGTATTTGTAGATGACTGTCGTACTTTTCAACTTTCTTGAAAAACGCAAGAAAATTTAATAAAACCGAAATTACCACTCACCAATTTTTTGAGGTACAGTCATTTTGTAAGACTTTTGTATTTTCAGTTAGTTAAATTGATGTCAAAAAACAAGAATAATTATTTGGGCCCTCTTAACTACAATCACAGAACAATTTTTTTTTTTTTATATCTTTTTTCCCATCTTGGGAAAGGCAAAGGCAGAGCCATGCAGCCATAGTCTTCATTTAAAGGATTTTTTTTGTTTCTTTTTTCTATAAGGCCGAAGCCACTTCTTTAATCATAAGATATTTGTCCTAAATAGTCTTTCTAATCCATTTTCAGTTTAGGTACTTATTGTTTCCCCCAAATTTTCAAATCCGATTTTGAATCTTCTTTCAATTTGAATCTTCTTTCTTTCAATCTTATTTGTTTAAAGTCATGAAATTTTTTAAAGTTCCATATCTATGGAAACTAAAAAAATATATAGATATTTGTATGATTTTGGATTCATAACAATGTCTTGAATGTCGCGCGGGATTTCATTATTAGTTTTATATAATTTAATTAAATTGTCAGCTAAAACAAGTCTTTGTATATTATATGCTGTACATTCAAAAAATATATGGTTTAGTGTTTGATCTTTATTTAAATTACAGTTTGTGCATAACGGAGATGTAATTATATTCATTCTATATAAATGTGAATTAAAACGTCCATGTCCAATTCTCAAGCGTGTGATGGTCGTATAAAATTTCCGACTATGGTATTCTTTAGATTTTGTAAACCATGGATGTTGACCAATTACATTATTAATTTTATGATACCATTTTCCTTTTATTACTAGCGTTTGATGCCAATTAATCAACCAATCTTGTTTTAACAAAAGTTTTAGTTTGGGTAATAAATGTGAAAAAGGTATGGCAACATTTTTAAAGTCAACGTCATCATTGCTTCGATTTAAAATGGTTCTGGCTAACGTATCAGCTTTCTCATTTCCGATGACTCCTATGTGCGATGGAACCCACATTAAAACTATTTGTACATTGAGGACTTTAAGTTTGTGGTACATTTTTTTAATATCATGTAAAATAAAATTACTTCCAGAGTCAAATCTATTGTTTCGCAAAGCTTGTAAACAACTCATGCTGTCTGTTAACACCAACCATTGAGTGCACTCCTGAATATTTTCCTCTATAAACTCCAATGCAGAAAGAATTGCAAGACACTCCGCAGAAAATATGCTCATCTGGCTTGGAAGTTTGTACCCTAGACCCGTTTTCAAATGAGGTATGTAAATCGCCATTGAAACATTATCATCATTCTTGGAACCGTCTGTATAAATATGTTTATGATTGGAAAACTTATCAATCTTTTTGTAAACTTCTTCTTTAAATTTCAAGTCGGGCGATATATGGATGCTTATGTCACAGAAATGCATATCATAAGTTTCTTTGTAACATATCCAATTATGCTCAGTTTTATTAATGTTGTACTGCTGGTTGTAATTAATATATTCTGAGAAGTCATGAAGCAAATAAGGGATCCTAGACATATTAGTTGGAGAGTATATTCCATATAGAAAGTTAATTTTTTTAATTAATGGATGGGAATGAAATGACAGTAATTTAATCAAAAACTTTGATTTTAAAAATTTAAATCTTAATTGAAGTGGAGGTGTATTGCATTCTACTTCCAGAGAGTTGATAGGAGAGGTTTTCATAGCACCCGTTATGCATCTAAGATTATGATTCTGCAAGACTTCTAATTTTCTTACTAATTGAGAATCAGATCCAAAACATAAAAATCCATATTCAAAGTGACTTCTAACAATTGACTTGTATAACATCAATAATATTTTAGGGTCAATTTTTGATAAACATTTTATGACATTGTAGGCTTTGTAAGCTTTCCCCAAAAGATATTCTACATATTTTTTCCATGAAAGATTATTGGTGAAAATAACACCCAAAAATTTTACTTCACTCTCTACAGGGACAATGACATTATTATATACAATATCAACATTTGTATCACAATCACCAAATACAACTGTTTTAGATTTGTCAGGGCTAATATCTAAATTTAAATAACTGAAATATTCATTTAATTTTAAAAGTGCTCTATTTATAGTAGAGGTTACCTGTTGAATATCAGAACCTGAATGGTAAATGACCAAGTCATCAGCAAATTGCAAGTTTTTTACTTGTGATCCTAAAATGATGTTTAGTTTGTGTACATAAAGAATGTAAAACAATGGAGATAGAATTCCTCCTTGACAGACACCTTTATATGAATAGCGTGGTCCTATTAATTGATTATTAGACTTGACATAAACCTCACGACCATGCAAAAAATTAAAAATCCACATAACTACTTTTTCAGGAAAACCAAGAGAAAAAAGTTCACGTGCTAAAATATGAGGATTTACATTATTGAAAGCACCAACAACATCAAAGAACACACCAATAAGGACTTCATCTTGTTTAAGTGCATCAAAAATGTCTAGTTGAAGATGTGCTATACTCTCTCTAGAGGATCGGCCCCTGCGAAAACCAAATTGATTGGAAGGTAATAGATTATTGCTTTCAATGAAAAATTCAACTCTTTGTTTGAGTAGCTGTTCAAATACTTTTCCCATACATGATGTCAATGCTATTGGCCGGTATGAATTTGCTTTAGTCTTATCTTTATTTGGTTTCAAAATGGGGACCAAACAATCTTTTTTCCAGTCAATAGGTATAACACAGCAAGACCATAACAAATTATAAACTTTTAAGATGATATTCTTTGTTTTATCTGTAGTATATTTTAGCATTTTATAAGGAATACCATCGAGGCCATGAGCTGTATCCCTACGAGTAGAAACTGCAGTTTTAAATTCTTGTATGTTAAATGGCATTTCTAAGTATTTACAATTATGTACAGGATTCCTATTTACAAATGTCAAAGGGACCTCTACGGTATCTGGTGTATATTTTTTGAGAAATTCTGGTACCCATTCACTATATACATTTTTAGATGGAACAGAAATACCATTAAACCTCCTGACAATCCTCCAGAGCTTTGAAATAGGAGTACATCGATTAAGTGATTCACACAATGACATCCAACTTAAGTTCCTTTCCTTTTTTAAAATGAGCTTTTTCAAAGCTTGTAACTTTTTAAACTTAAGGTAACTTTCCTCTGAGAGGTTATGCTTAAATATATTAGTATAAGCTTTCCTACAATTATCTACAGCTGTTTTGCAGTTGTTATTCCACCAAGGCAATGAAACACGTTTCTTAAAAGCTTTTAGAGCTGATATTTGTGGTTGAACAAACTGTCTACTAGTGTGAGTAACAGACTGCTGCAGCGCTAGATTTAATAATATTACCATATCTGAATAACATTTTAATGGATTAGACTGGTCAAATTGTAAATTGTTATTTAATAAGAAATCTACATTTTCACTATATTTTTGCCAGTCTACTAGACGGAAATTAAAATATGTAGGGTGTGCAAGTAAATTTTCAAATGAGTCTTTATTATTACTAATTTCTAATTTTGTAATTACAGGTAAATGGTAGCTGCCTAAAGGGTCATCAGAAACAGACCATTCACATCTCAAAGCCAAAGAGGGTGATACTAGTGTTAAATCCAAAGCATTCCTTTGCCATACACTAGAGCCAACAGTTGTCAGCTGACCATCATTTAGGAGTACTAAGTTGTTGTCATTGATGCTTTCAATAATATCGCGCCCACGTGAATCAATAGAGCTACAGCCCCATGCTGTATGCCGGGCGTTAAAATCGCCAGCAATCAGCAAAGGCCCAGGGATACTGCTGATTAAATAATCAAGTTTTGATTTAGAAAATGAAGGGTTACAGTTACCTGGACTATATAAAGACACAAGAGAAATTTCTTGATTTCCATAATACAATCTTACAGCTATATTTTGAATTGAATCATCAAATGATGTATCTATCTTATGGAATTGCAAACTATTATGAATAAAAATGGCAACGCCATTATGGCGGTTACCTGAATCTAGTCTAATTACATCATAACTTTTGAGAGTAAACTGAATGTGTGGTTTTAACCATGTCTCAGAAATCAAAGCTACATGAATCTGATTCTCTTGTAGAAAATTTGTTAATAAGTATCTGTGTGCAGGTAAACTCTGAGCATTCCATTGCATTATATTTAAAAAATCCATAAAAAAAAAAAAAAAAGATGAAGTGTTTTGTTTCTTATTTTTATTTATTGTTTCCAAGAGAGTATCTTTTATACTCTGTGTGGAAATAGCTGTTTCATTGTTTTTGTTCATTGTTATTAATTTGACAATTGACTCTACAACCATATTCAAAATAAAATCAGAGTTTAATAGCAATGCTAGCATATCAGTGGGACTTTGTTTCAAGGGAGGGAATGATTTCTCATTAATTACAGCAGAGTATGTTTTATTCTGAGCCTTTTCTCTATTTAATAATATTTTTTCTTTTTTTACAGGGCACTGTGACGAAATAGCCACATGGTTCCCCTTGCAATGACAACATACAGCATCCTGACTTGATTTTGTACAGAGTTTAAAGTTATGTGACTCACCACATATGGAGCATCGTTCTGCATTCTTACAAAATTTGGCAATATGTCCATACCTCAGGCACTTAAGACTGCTTGACTGGGGGTATGTAGCACTGCTTGACTGGGGGTATGTAGGGTCGTAATCGAAACGCCATCTGTTGAGGTCGACACTCTCAGGTAATACTGGGCATGAAAATGTGATAGAAACTGTCTTTGTCGGCTCCAATTTATTTTCACCATTATCAGTCCTTATTCTTCTCATAAAACTTCGAATGCTTACGATATTTTTTGTAGAAGTCAATGCAGAGTATATTTGTTCATTCGATAATTCTGTGGGCACATGAGTGATGACACCTGTGACTTCGCTAGCTGCTGCCGGAATAGATGCCGACAGGTTGTATGCTTCCAAGAATTTTCTATTCTGTAATGCCGCGTTAGCCAGACCAGGACGTTCAAATACCACACCGATTTTATATTTATTCACTCTTCGCAACTGTTTTACACCTTTGTTATATCGCTTCAAGCAGTTTGCTAATCCCATCATGTCTCGATTACCAATAGGCTGATCAGATTTTGTACTCTC